GGACAGATCCTGAAGCTGAGGCTCCAATACATTGGCCACCTCATGAGAAGAGAAGACTCCCTGGAAAAGACCCTGATGTTGGGAAAGATTGAGGGCACAAGGAGAAGGGGACGACAGAGGACGAGATGGTTGGACAGTGTTCTCGAAGCTACTAACATCAGTTTGACCAAACTGCGGGAGGCAGTGGAAGACAGGAGTGCCTGGCATGCTCTGGTCCAGGGGGTCACAAAGAGTCGGACACCAATAAACGACTAAACAACAACAACAACAACAGTAAGCTTGTACCCTGACTTATTCTGACATGTGATCCAGGCCAACACCACTGTCTTTGGATTCAGTTTTGGATGTTACGTTGATAGGGATAAACACTCATGAAGCAATTAAATAGATCACTTTCCCTCTTCTGATTTTCAGTAAGAAAATGCCCAAACAAGAACATGGAGGTTACAAAACCAATACTAACTGACAAACAGAGCCAGGTTTAAGAGTGTCCTTTCAGGCAGCAAATTAAAATCTGATGGAAAAATCTAAAGATAGAGTTTTATAAAAGGGCTTCGAGCTAAACATCCGTACTGATTTTGAAGTTGTGAAATAGGAAGCTTTGTGAAACAGAAGTTGACATTAAAGGAATAGTTTCTAGCGGTTCAAAAAATTGAAAAGAGAATGACTAAACTGTTAAGAAATTGGCTTTCAAAGCAGTGGCCAGTCACGGAAGCAAAAAAGAAGGAAACTTCAGTTTTCACATGTTTATTTTCTGAACCATGTCTCGGGTTAGCAAATGTTGATTCCTAAACACTTTAACTGTTCAGTTTTCATCTATGAAAAATTTTATAGTATAGAACGAAGCCAATACCAACAACTGGGAAGGCAAGGCTATTAGGAACTATAGAAGGAAATGCATAATGTAATAAAGTTTGGGCTTAACTCACTGTCTATGGTAAAGGTAAAAAACGTAAAGGACCCCTGGATGGTTAAGTCCAGTCAAAGGCGACTATGAGGTTGCGGCACTCATCTCACTTTCAGGCCAAGGGAGCTGGTGTTTATCCACAGACAGCTTTCCAGGTCATGTGGTCAGCATGACTAAACCGCTTCTGGTGCAACAGGACACCGTGACGGAAGCCAAAGGACACGGAAACGCCATTGACCTTCCTGTTGCAGCGGTACCTATTTATCGACTTGCACTGGCATGCTTTCGAACTGCAAGGTTGGCAGGAGCTGGGACAGAGCAACGGGAGCTCATCCCGTCGCTGGGATTTGAACCGCTGACCTTCTGATTGACAAGCCCAAGAGGCTCAGTGGTTTAGACCACAGCACCACCTGCATCCCAATGGCTATGGAGTGAGCTCACGGAATAGAAGAGGGCAGGATCCCCAAGAATGTACTCTATAGGGAGCTGGCTTCAGGTATCAGGCCTGTCGGCAGACCAACTCTGAGTTATAATGATTTCTGCAAATGTGACAACACCAAGCCTGCCATGTGGACAACCACAGTGCCTGGAAACAGACAGTCAGGTTGTGTAACTATAGCAATGACCAATGGAGGAATGACCGCTGGGAGGAGCACAGAGAGAAGAAATGCCACGGTGCATCTGCAGTAGCACAACCAGATGCCCTCACCTGCCCCAGCTGCAACAAAACATGTGTCTCCCATCTCAGTCTCTACAGCCACAGCAGGCGCTGTAACCCTCCAATAGTTTGGCTTCACCCCACCCCCCCATGCACTCCTTCATTGTCTCCCAATACTGATGGATGCCAACAACATGTGTAGGATGCTCAAAGCATCTCTGAGCATGGGGTTTTGCAGGGGGGGGTCACAGCAGCTGATTGGGCAGATTAGGCCAATTAATGGGCATTCAAGTTAAGATGCAAAGAAAAATTTTAAAAAAAAAGTATTTCCCCCCCTCTTAGAACCACAATCCACAGAGACTAAGTTTACCTGAGATGCAAACATTGGTGATTAAAAATGATGTGTTTCTTTCAGGCAGAAGGCAGCAACACAACAATTTGGAAACAGCCCAGGTGAGGGCACTAATCAGTTCCTGCAGCGATGCAAATTGACTTTCGCTTGTATAAGATGTGCTAAGTAGGGTTATTGTGGACCATTAATTTTATTTATCCTTTGAGTCAGGTTACTGTGACATCCCCTTGATTGGTTTGTCTCCCGCTTCCATATGCAACACAAGCTCCTTGTCCCTTTTAAGCTCTCCCTGGCTGTGCCCACGCTGTCTTCCAGCTGTTTGTTTTATTCCTTCCAGTGAATTCCACTTCTCCAGAGCTCTCCACCAGCCTTCCCCAACCTGGTGCCCTTAAGATGTTTTGGACTAAAACTCTCACCAGCCTCCACCAATGCTGTGACCGATGGGATTTGTAGTCCAAAGACTCTGGAGAGTACCAGCTTGGCCAAGGCTGTTATATACCACCATTTGCCCAATGGTGATGGGCAAATGAGAGGGAGACAGAGACAGAGAGGTGCAGGAAGATAATGGGCTGCAAGTTAAAGCCACCAGCTCTCCTGAATATTCCTTGGAGAGAAAGAAGAAGAAGAGTTTGGACTTGATATCCCGCTTTATCACAGGAGTCTCAAAGCGGCTAACAATCTCCTTTTCCCTTCCTCCCCCACAACAAACATTCTGTGAGGTGAGTGGGGCTGAGAGACTTCAGAGAAGTGTGACTGGCCCAAGGTCACCCAACAGCTGCATGTGGAGGAGCAGGGAATCAAACCCGGTTCACCAGATTACGAGTCCACAACGCTTAACCACTACACCAGAATGCAGGAGGATACAGGCTGCAAATTAATGAAAGGATGGTCCCCCCCACTGGGTCACCCCTGAACGTTCCTCAAGTCACCCTAGGGTGCCATGACACACTGGTTGAAAACCAATCTCTTTAGCTATTACTTAATACAAGTATTTGGAAAGGCAACAGGTGGACATGCCAACTTTGAAGAATCTTGCTTCCACTTCATACGCACGCAAGAGACGGAGAGACAGACTTTCAAACTTCCTGCTGTGAAATTATTATGCTGCATCTATAAATCAGATAAATGAATATTCTGAAATTGGAACTCTTTTTTTAATCATATGCAAATGTATACAAATTCAACCAGCCAATAAACCTGTACTTAGTTACTTAAGAATAACAAAGCAGTTTTAAACCGTATATGATGAATTTAAGGTTGCTTTATTGGGTGCCCTAGGGACGCGGCTGGCGCTGTAGGTTAAACTACAGAACCTAGGACTTGCTGATCAGAAGGTCGGCGATTCGAATCCCCGCGGCGGGGTGAGCTCCCGTTGCTTGGTCCCTGCTCCTGCCAACCTAGCAGTTCGAAAGCACGTCAAAGTGCAAGTAGATAAATAGGTACCGCTCTGGCGGGAAGGTAAACGGCGTTTCCGTGCGCTGCTCTGGTTCGCCAGAAGCGGCTTAGTCATGCTGCCCACATGACCCGGAAGCTGTACGCCGGCTCCCTTGGCCAATAAAGCGAGATGAGCACCGCAACCCCAGAGTCGGCCACGACTAGACCTAATGGTCAGGGGTCCCTTTACCTACTTATCCTAGTAATCCTCAACCCCACCTGTAAAGGGTAAAGGGTAAAGGTAAAACCCCTCAGGGCAGTTAAGTCCAGTCAAAGGCGACTATGGGGTTGTGGCCCTCATCTCGCTTTTAGGCCGAAGAAGCCAGTGTTTGTCCACAGACAGCCTTCCAGATCATGAGGCCAGCATGACTAAATTGCTTCTGGCACAACCGTCATACTGTGATGGAAACCAGAGCGCATGGATATGCCGTTTACTGCTGACCTTCTGATCGGCAAGGCCAAGAGGCTCAGTGGTTTAGACCACAGCGCCACCCATGTCCCTATCCCACCTGTAACCAGTGCTGGATTTATATATAGGCTAAGTAGGCTGAAGCCTGTTGTTGTTTAGTCGTTTAGTTGTGTCCGACTCTTCGTGACCCCATGGACCAGAGCACGCCAGGCACTCCTGTCTTCCACTGCCTCCCGCAGTTTGGTCAAACTCATGCTGGTAGCTTTGAGAACACTGTCCAACCATCTCATCCTCTGTCGTCCCCTTCTCCTTGTGCCCTCAATCTTTCCCAACATCAGGGTCATTTCCAGGGAGTCTTCTCTTCTCATGAGGTGGCCAAAGTATTGGAGTCTCAGCTTCAGGATCTGTTCTTCCAGTGAGCACTCAGGGCTGATTTCCTTAAGAATGGATAGGTTTGATCTTCTTGCAGTCCATGGGACTCTCAAGAGTCTCCTCCAGCACCATAATTCAAAAGCATCAATTCTTCGGCGATCAGCCTTCTTTATGGTCCAGCTCTCACTTCCATACATCACTACTGGGAAAACCATGGCTTTTACTATACAGACCTTTGTTGGCAAGGTGATGTCTCTGCTTTTTAAGATGGTGTCTAGGTTTGTCATTGCTTTTCTCCCAAGAAGCAGGCGTCTTTTAATTTCGTGGCTGCTGTCACCATCTGCAGATCATGGAGCCCAAGAAAGTAAAATCTCTCACTGCCTCCATTTCTTCCCCTTCTGTTTGCCAGGAGGCGATGGGCCCAGTGGCCATGATCTTCGTTTTTTTGATGTTGAGCTTCAGACCATATTTTGCGCTCTCCTCTTTCACCCTCATTAAAAGGTTCTTTAATTCCTCCTCCCTTTCTGCCATCAAGGTGGTGTCATCTGCATATCTGAGGTTGTTGATATTTCTTCCGGCACTCTTAATTCCCTATGCCCTTTTAAAATGTGGTTTCGGGTTATTGGGTTGTTGTTTTTACTTTGGTTATCTACATTGTAGTTTTATATGTTGGTTATATTCTGTGAACCGCCCTGAGACCTCCGGCTATAGGGCGGTATTCAATAAATTCAATAAATAATAATAAAGCGGTGCGGAGAGGTTGCTCGCCCTTAGCTGAGGCAGCGCCGTGGGCCAGCAGATGGCGCTGCCCTCCTGCCTCCTTTTCCCGCAGGCTCCCTGAGCGCGGAGAAAAGTTGGGGGACGAGTCAGCCGGGAAAGGAAGGAGAGGGCGGCAGCAGCATTTGCATGAGCAGCGGGAAGAGCCAGTGTGTGGGGGGAGTGTGTGTGTGTGTATGCGCGCGCGCGCGCCTCTCTCCGTTTCTCGCTCGCTATATAGGATGTGCCGCGGAATGGGTGGCTCGTTGCTGTAGGCGCGCGTGCGGCTCGCCCTGCCTTTGGCGAGCAGCTTTTTGCAGCGCCGCCGCCGCCGCTGCTCTCCTCCTCCTCACCACCGGCAAGGCAAGCGATCCCGGCAGGCTCTGGCTTTTCCCGGCTGCCATCTCCTCCTCCTTCTCCGCCTGCCTGCCTGCCCTCTCTCTCTCCCATTTTCCTCCGCTGGGAAGCCTCGATGTGCTGCTGCCAATGGCCGGGGCACAGCCAGGGGTGCACGCTCTCCAACTGCAGCCGGTCCGCGTCTCGGCCAGCCTCAAGAAAGGCACCGTCTTCGTCAAGTGGGACGATGTAAGTTTGTGGAGCGCGCCGCCTCGGCCGCCCTTTGCCCGACCTTCCTTGCTCCCTCTCCCCGCTCACCTTGATGGATGGAGGGTGCCGGGATGGAAGGGGGAAACGCTCCGCGTAATTACGCAACGGCCAGAGCGCATCGGCCGGGGGGGCTCGCCACATGTGCGGGATGGTGCCTCGCCGAGGGCGCGCGGTGCTCATCGGGCTCGGTGGCTGGGTCACACACAAACACGTGTCTGAGATGGGCTCTGCTGAGACGCAGAATCGGGGATCGGGTCAAATTTCAGCTGCTTCTGGGCACGCAGGGGTTTCCCAAGTGGCCCTAGCTCCGGAGCAGAGTACATGCTGGGGTAGCTCGGTCGGTAGAGCAGGAGACGCTTGATCTCAGCGTCGTGGGTTCGAGCCCCATGTTGTGCATGCTCCTTGCACGCCAGCGGATTGGAACAGAGGACCCACGCCGTCCCTTCCAACTCTACAAATCTATGTTTCTACGATTCAGTGCTTTGCATGCCGACGATTCCAGGTGTGAGCCAGTCCAGCCAAAGGAGCATAGGGCTGGGAAAGACTTACTCTTGAGAGACAGGCAAGGGAGGTGGGCATGAATGGAATTTGTACCAGTGGGCTTGACTGGGGATCTGGCAGTTCTCCCTATGTATTGTCCATTGCTGGTGCTTCTGGGAAAAAGCAGAAATGTCTATAAAGTGGAGTGGTGGAGGCAGAGTTGGGATTAGGTTATGCCATTTCTTTTTCCGAAAGGATGGATGGATGGCATGGAGATGAAGAAGCAAAAATGCTGTTGCATGGGTTGCGAAGCATCCTGACAAATGCAGGGTCCTGCGAGTGGGTGGGATGGGCGAGTGCAGGTGCTGCCAGCCTTAAAGTTGGGAGAGAAGCAGGAAGGTGGAGCCGGTCTGATTTTTCTGTGGCGAAACATTGGAAGAGCATTGGTTCCCAACGAGTTACCCTTGGCAACAAGCAACTCAAATGCATTGATGTGGATTTAGACAAGCAGTTTGGTGCTTGTGTTGAGAAGAAACGGGCACAGCTTTTTTGTGTATGTGCATAGCCTAGTGTGCACACATACAGAGAGAGTTTTTGAAGGGAAAATAATAATAGAATTGTAGTGTGTGGTCCATCCCCCTGCCATGTTTCTAAGTGGAACTTGGAACTTGGAACTGGATATTATTATTTTTTAAAGAAAGTTTGCTACTTGATCTTTTCCTTAAAAATTGTTTTTTGCACTCTTTAGTGCCCTGTTTAGATGCAGAAACCTCTCCGTAAGCTAGTCTTCACTCAGTTTCTCAGGTCCTCATAGTTTTTGCTGTCATATAATTACTTATTATGGGTGCATACAGTGACATTGGTAAATTGAGTGTTACAGAGTTCCATAGGCAAAAGTAGGAAGACCTCCGTTGCCCAGAAAGCTTGCACTCTAAAACAGATAACTGAGGACATGGGAGGCATAGAGAGAAGGTGGTAATAGGTTTGACAGTACAGTTCTACGTATTTAGAATCTAGTTTATTTTTGCTTCTTTATTACCGTTGTATTCCACAATTTGCCTTTTAAGGCAAAGGTTATAAAGTGAAGTTGTTTTGTTATGGGGCATGGTGTTTTTGCACCTTACCTTCTGGCTTTGTTAGTGTTGAGGGCAGAAATTGGCACATGTGGTGAGAGCATCACTGGCTCAAGTAACAAGCAGTTATTTACAAAGTGACACCTCTTCCCCCTTCTGGCGTGACCCTTGTTTTGATAGGCATAGGAACAAGCAAGAGTACACTGTGGTCTTGTTCTCACAGGTATTCCACCTGCACCTAGACTGTATCACGGCAGGTGGGGGCTCACATCACTGAGTGCTTGGCCATAAAAAAAAATAAAAACATGAAACCTGGAAAACTAATTTGCTAACATAATTGCTAACAAGACTTCTCTGTGCATCGCTTTATAGAGAAGGTGGCTTGGTTTATTCCTTGCGGCGCTCTCTCTTGAACTTGGATTCCCCCTGTGCTACAGCTTCAGAATTTGGATTTGTAAGTGGAGATCCTAAAGCAGAAAAAGAAAGAAAAGTTCTTTCCACTTCTACCTGAATTTAAGCTAATAGGTTATTTTAACAGGTTGTGTTGTTTAAGTTAACAGGTTATGTTATTTTTGTTTCTCATTTCCTGTTACAGTGGACACTAGTTGGAGTGGGTTTTGCTGGATGCAGGAATAGCAAAAATATTCTTTCTCATATAGAAGGAAAGATGCTGTGAAGCTGAAGCTTGTTTTTTAAAATGAAGAGTGACAGTTCCAATCGTGCTTTATTTCCATATCTCTGGTCTTGATGTCTACATATAGTCTAATGGAGCAGTCAGGCACAGGCAGTGGTTAAACAGCTTAAGATAAAAAGTGTTTCCGTTGGGGCTTTAGCACTGATAAGCCCTTTCAACTGGGGAGGATACGGGACTTGTTTGTGACCCTAACGGGTGTTTAAGTGTAGCAAACTGAATTGAGGGAGAGCTGGCATTTCAATAAGCCTTAAAAATTAAATTCATAGATGCCCAAACATGCAACTGGCTGAGAACAGCTTATCAGAAACATTGCAAGATCTGGATTCTGAACAGAATTGCTGGTGACCTGTGAAACAGTGCATTTATAATCCACTTTATGGGTTCAGAAGACACAACTTTTCATGAGGAAGATGTTTAAGAGCAACTGTCTTCCTCTTAGTGAGGAAAGAATGCATGTCAGTGCCCATCTAGCATATAATTGGGTTGCAGTACAATTAACTCGGCTGCTATTGAAATGTTGCTTTAAAGGGGATAAGATTGTTGGTTTTAAGTTGCCCAGCCAGGTCTTGATGGATTTGATCACAAGAATTTCTCTTTTGGTCTGCAGCAGCCTCCTGATGTTGTTGGACTTCCAGATCTCATCATCTCCAGCCAGCAGGGTCAAGGATGATGGGAGTTGTCCTAAACATTTGGAAGGCAGCAAAGACAAAATGAGGTGCCAAGCATTTCCGAACACATGTTGGCTTTTCGGTGTATAGCGTCAGAGGAGCAAATGCAATGCATTGGTTAAAAATATGGCAATATGGCAAATATGGCAAATATGGTGCAGTGAAGGCATGTTTTGGTAGAAGTCGGGATCAAAGACATTTCTGCAGTTCCTTCACTAAGGAAAAATCAGTGCTCATGCATTGGGTACCAAAGGGAGGCAAAGGACAGGATTACAAGGCAGGCACCTCTTATTGAATCAAACAATTGTAGAGTTGGAAGGAACCCCGCGGGTCATCTAGTCCAACCCCAAATAGTGAAGGTGCCCTTGGTTATACCAACTGATTTGGAGAACAGCTGCAGCTCAATGGTAGAGCATCTGCCTTGTCCATTCCCTGACACCGCAAGGGGGGAACATCTGAAAACTTGGGACGTTGTTACCAGTCAGCGTGGCAATATTGAGCTAGACAGACCAGTGGTCACTGACCTCCTTTCCTATATGTGCAACAATGTCCTAAATAATCTGTGTCACTAATAGCAGCTGCGACAAACTGCGGGAGCACCTGTGGGTAAAGTTAGATCAGCGTCTTCTGTGGCCGAGTTTTCGAAATGCTTGCAGGCAGCTGTTCCATCAGTGCTGGCTTCAGATATGTCAGGCAGGTCACAGACGACGTGTTCTTTGAAAAGAGGGTTTAAAAGACCATGCCTGAAATTACCTCCTCTCGTTCTGTCTATGCTCTTGGCATCAACATCAAGCAGTGTAAAAGCTGTGTGTTTATGTCAAGTCCTGGAAGTGTTGCTATGCTTCGAACAGCAATGAACAAACTCTGACCTCTCTGAAAGTTAAAGAGCTTTGTATAGAACTGGTCCTGGGAACTAGAACCACAGTTAGCCCTAAGGTCACAAATAAATAAAACCAACCAGTGTATGCGGCGTGTCTCTCGTTCTAATCCTAAAGCCAACTAGATGTGACAGTTCTGTGATCAGATCTGATGTCTGTTCCGAAAGAGGCCATGGGGGACAGGTGGGGACAGTTTAATTCCTTTCTCTCTCTCCTCTGCTCCCATTCAACATCCCGTAGCTACTACGAACTGTGAAAACAGTGGAAACAAATCTTGTCCTATTTTTGCCCTATGTGGCTGAGGGTGCTTTCACACAGCAGGTTGCTGTGAACTCGGTGATGCTTGTTTTTTGGGGGGTTTCTTTATTATCTTTCTCATCAAAATGCTGTCCCATTTCCACCTCCCTCCCTTTAATCTGGATTTACTGTTTCTGAGTTTTTATTTGAACTTTTCCATGGAATCTGGATCAAATGGGAAAATAATACAAGGTGGCATTGGGATGCAGGTAACAACATGCAAAACTTGCACGCAAGAGCAGTCACTAAGTCCACAATACAGTGGTACCTCGGGTTAAGTACTTAATTCGTTCCAGAGGTCCGTTCTTAACCTGAAACTGTTCTTAACCTGCAGGACCACTTTAGCTAATGGGGCCTCCTGCTGCTTTCACGCCGCTGGAGCCCGATTTCTGTTCTCATCCTGAAGCAAAGTTCTTAACCTGAAGCACTATTTCTGGGTTAGCGGAGTCTGTAACCTGAAGCATATGTAACCTGGGGTACCACTGTAAACTCTTTCTTGGAAGTGCTCTAATAGCAACACCTAATAGAGTGGTTTGTATGAAAGGTTTAAATCCCACTATTCTGCAACTTCAACCCAAATAAAATACATTGGAAGAGTCAATTGCAGATCTATGTGGCTTTCATAGTCTGGCCCTTAGTACCAAGAGACAACATATTGATGTGCACAAAGAGTGCAGTGTTTGAAATTAGCCAGGCGCATTTGCACCTGGCTGTTGGCCACTTGCGACCAATAATAATGATTTAATAATTATTGGGCGTCCCAAGTAAAGCTGTCCGAGTGCCATCCTGGCACCTGACATCTCCACCACCTGGAGGTGCATGCCTGGGGATCATTGGATCTTGACTGTTTTCACACACTAGCAACACATCCTGTAGAATTCTATCTTGTTCTATTTTATCTGCCCAATCAGAATGAATTTCAGGAGCCAAAATGCTTTCTCTGTGCAGCCTGAGCAGGAGCAGTCACCATTAAGAAAAATAGGTCAGAATAGGCCAATATATATGTGGACAGTCCCTGGGTCCAGTAATTCCCTCCCCCCTTAACTACTTTAACTACTCCTCAGCTGCTGCTTAAGTCCTCCCCCCCTTAAGTTCTTAACCTAGCTCAAGGTTGTCATCTGAACTAACCAGATGTTTAACTGAGCATCTATCACATTCAGTCCGTCATTTGAAAAATAAGACTTTAGAGCTGCCTTAAAGGTAAAGGTAAAGGACCCCTGGACGGTTAAGTCCAGTTAAAGGCGACTATGGGGTTGCAGCACTCATCTCACTTTCAGGCCGAGGGAGCTGCGTTTGGCCACAGACAGCTTTCTGGGTCATGTGGCCAGCATGACTAAAATGCTTCTGGCACAACGGAACACCGTGACGGAAACCAGAGCGCACGGAAACGCTGTTTACCTTCCCGCTGGAGCGGTACCTATTTATCTACTTGCACTGGTGTGCTTTCGAACTGCTGGGTTGGCAGAAGCCGGGACAGAGCTCATCCCATCACGGGGATTCGAACCGCCGACCTTCTGATCGGCAAGCCCAAGTGGCTCAGTGGTTTAGAAAACGGCAACTAGACATTCCCTTTTGGCGACTGCAACCTTGGTTTAAGGAGCCATTTGGTGCCTAGCTTATATATCTGAGTCTATAACACTCAAGAGTGCATGTCCTGGGATGTGGAAAATCTTTTGGGAGCTACATCAAATTGGGCCCACTGGATCTGTTGTAATCCAGATGTGAGACATGTCTGGATTCTGATGTCCGTTCAGTCCGAAGTTGTATTAAAGTCCAATGCAGATAAAACACTGTATAGGATCCTTCATGCCAATCTCCACTCCCCCCAGTGTATGCCTGCCCCTCTTTCCCCACCCCTCTACATCTGTCTGTTGATCCAGCCTTCAGATTTCAAGTTGATGAACAGCAGAAGCAGGTACACCAAAGCAGGATGGAAAGTATCCTTGCCATGCCACTGCAGCTTAAGTGCTTCCAAAGCAGAATAGGAATGCGCGAGGGATAATCCCATCTGATTAATGGGCAGGTTCTGGGAAAGTTGTGAGCTCAGGCGGCAACAGCAAAAAATGTAAGCTTTAACTACTCCTGAGCTGCCCAGGTAAGATGCAAAACTGAAATGAGACAACATTTTGGGATGTAATCCCTTTATAGCACCTTTGGAGAACCTTTGCTATTGGGAAAGGCTAAATGCCCTGTACTTCTTTGGAAGCTTTACTTCAGGGGTAGGCAACCTAAGTCCCCGGGGCCAGATTGCCTTCTCAATCCGGCCTGCGGATGGTCCGGATATCAGCGTGTTTTTACATGAGTAGAATGTGTGCTTTTATTTAAAACGCCTCTCTGGGTTATTTGTGGGGCATAGGAATTCGTTCATATTTTTTTCCAAAATATAGTCCGGCCCACCACATGGTCTGAGGGACGGTGGACCGGCCCATGGCTGAAAAAGGTTGCTGATCCCTGCTTTAGTTAGTGCAGGACGCAGCAAGAACTTATTTTTTAAAAAGAAAAAAAGCTACCATGTACTTTAAAGTTTATTTTTAATAGTGCAAGCACAAATCCCAGTGAATAAATATAAATTGACTAATTGCTGTGCTTGAATAAGCCACTGCTAATGCGCTCAGAGCCCTCATCGCCCTACCGGGTGATAAGCCGTGTTTGCAGCACAATTTTATGCATTGTTTAGTAACACTGTTTACTTAGAAACAATTCCCACAAAGTTCACTGGAGTAAGTGGGATAGTATTGTAGCCTTGCTGATGCCTCCTCGGGGCCTGATCCCATCCAAAGGGTGAAAAGGATTTTGCACTTGGCTGATCTTGGTAGATCTTGAGAGTGAGGAGGAGGGAGTGGGTCCCATGATCAATTTCAAATGTGCCTGTTGTAGAATCCTCTGCACCTAGTTGGCTGTAGGAAAGCCATAGCTCAGTTGTAGCATGCATGTTTTTTTTTAATCTTATCTTGTTTCTACCCTGCATTTTCAGTGCAGCCCCCTTGTATGCCAAAGGTCCAAGGCTCAGTTCAAAAGGCTTTGCAAACAGCAGGTCTGGACAAATCCTCTACCTGAGATGTTAGAGAGCGGACGCTGGTCCCAGCTCACTGGCTTTCCATACCTTGCTACCCTCCTTAGCTTTTTCTTCTCCTAAAGATACTAATAATAATGTATAATAATAATTTATTATTTATACCCCGCCCATCTGGCTGAGTTTCCCCAGCCACTCTGGGTGGCTCCCAGTCGAGTGTTAAAAACAATACAGCATTAAATATTAAAAACTTCCCTAAACAGGGCTGCCTTCAGATGTCTTTTAAAGATAGGTTCCCTTTAACCTCACTTCTCACAATGAGGGAATCGCCAGAAGGCCCTCGGCGCTGGATCTCAGTGTCCAGGCTGAACGATGAGGGTAGAGATGCTCCTTCAGGTATACTGGGCCGAGGCCGTTTAGGGTTTTAAAGGTCAGACCAACACTTTGAATTGTGCTCGGAAACGTACTGGGAGCCAATGCAGATCACTCAGGACCGGTGTTATATGGTCCCGGCAGCCACTCCCAGTCACCAGTCTAGCTGCCACATTCTGGATTAAATGCAGTTTCCGGGTCACCTTCAAAGGTAGCCCCACATAGAGCACATTGCAGTGGTCCAAGATATCCTGCAAGGCAGCAGAAGTTTAGGCGCAGAGTCTTCCTTCTCCTAGATGGGCTACCTTCCCTGGTTGACGAACCCCACTTGCCCCTTAATTGTCTTAAAATAGCTCCCCCTTCCTTTAGATGATAACGTATGTTAGTTCACTTCAATACAGTATTGGGGAGCCCAGGTAACCACTGCCTTGCACAATCGACCGCAAGACATGGAGCACACACACCATTTGAATGGCAATGTTCATCAACTTGGGGGGGGGGGGAGCGAGCCCCTAAAATATTTTATTTTTTTATTTTTTATATAAGATATTTATTAAGGTTTTTTGAAATATTACAGTGAAAATGAAAAAGAAAAAAGAAAAATACAAAATAAAAACAGTTAAAAACACACATATTTTCTATTACTTATTTTCCTTTAGCTTGTTTCCCGGACCTCCTCGTACCTCCCTTTTTGTATTCCACTTCAATTTATTGGTTCAGCAAATCCTTACCATTAGATTTTAACCCATTTATAACCCTTTTTCATATTCTCTTAGAACATTACAGCTGGAAACCGCTTAATTACTATCCAACATCATTCTATCATTCATTAATTTTACAATATTTCTGTAAATAGTCTTTAAATTTCTTCCAATCTTCTTCCACCGACTCTTCTCCCTGGTCTCGGATTCTGCCAGTCATTTCTGCCAATTCCATATAGTCCATCACCTTCATCTGCCATTCTTCCAAAGTGGGTAGATCTTGTGTCTTCCAATACTTTGCAATGAGTATTCTTGCTGCTGTTGTAGCATACATAAAAAAGTTCTGTCCTTCTTTGGCACCAATTGGCCGACAATGCCCAGAAGAAAGGCCTCTGGTTTCTTCAAGAAGGTATATTTAAATACCTTTTTCAGTTCATTATATATCATTTCCCAGAAAGCCTTAATCCTTGGGCACGTCCACCAAAGGTGAAAGAATGTACCTTCAGTTTCTTTACATTTCCAGCATTTATTGTCGGGCAAATGATAGATTTTTGCAAGCTTGACTGGGGTCATGTACCACCTATATATCATTTTCATAATATTCTCTCTTAGGGCATTACATGCCGTAAACTTCACACCTGTGGTCCATAACTGTTCCCAGTCAGCAAACATAATATTATGTCCAACATCTTGTGCCCATTTAATCATAGCAGATTTCACCGTTTCATCCTGAGTATTCCATTTCAACAGCAAGTTATACATTCTTGACAAATTCTTAGTTTTGGGTTCTAACAGTTCTGTTTCTAGTTTTGATTTTTCCACCTGGAAGCCAATTTTCTTATCCAAATTATATGCCTCCATTATCTGATAATAATGAAGCCAATCTCTCATTTTGTTTTTAGTTTCTCGAAACTCTGCAATTTCAATTTGTCTCCTTCTTGTTCCAAAATTTCCCAATATTTCGGCCATTTGGCCTCCATATTGAGCCTTTTCAGAGCTTTCGCTTCCATCGGTGACAACCACCTTGGGGTTTTATTTTCCAATAAATCCTTGTATCTTATCCAAACATTAAACAGTGCTTTCCTGACAATATGATTTTTAAATGCTTTATGTGCTTTGACCTTATCATACCATAAATATGCATGCCATCCAAATACGTTGTTAAAACCTTCTAAATCCAAAATGTCTGTATTTTCAAGAAGTAGCCATTCTTTCAACCAGCAAAAAGCTGCTGATTCATAATAAAGTTTAAAGTCTGGCAGGGCAAATCCACCTCTTTCCTTTGCATCAGTTAATATCTTAAATTTTATTCTGGGCTTCTTGCCCTGCCAGACAAATCTAGAAATATCTCTCTGCCACTTCTTGAAACAGTCCATCTTGTCCACAATTTGCAATGTCTGAAACAAAAACAACATTCTAGGCAATACATTCATTTTTATCACAGCAATACGACCCAACAGTGAAAGCTTCAAATTTGACCAGATTTCTAAATCTTTTTCACTTCCGTCCAACATTTTTCATAATTATCTTTAAATAAGTTCCCATTTTTGGCTGTCATATTAATCCCCAGGTATTTCACTTTCTTAACCACAGTCAGGCCTGTCTCATTCTGAAACCTCTCTCTTTCAATCGGTGTTAAATTTTTCTCTAAAACCTTAGTTTTTAGCTTGTTCAATTTAAATCCTGCCACTTGACCAAATTCTTGAATTAATTCTAAAACCCTTTTAGTACTAGATTCTGGCTCCTGTAACGTCAATACTAAGTCATCTGCAAATGCTCTCAGTTTGTACTGTTTGGCTCCGACCTGTATACCTTTAACCAACCGGTCCCTTCTAATCATATTCAGCAGAACCTCCAGGACCGATATAAAAAGCAGTTGGGAGATTGGGCACCCCTGTCATGTCCCTTTTTCTATCTTAAATTCTTCCGTCACCACATTATTTACAATTAATTTAGCCTTTTGTTCAGAGTATATTGCACCTATACCATTTTCAAAACCTTGGCCTACCCTCATCCCCTGTAGATTCTTCTTCATAAAGCTCCAAGAGATATTGTCAAAAGCTTTCTCCGCATCCACAAATATCAGAACTGCTTTAGTGTTTATGTTCACTTCTAGTTTTTCCAAAATATCAATTATATTCCTCAAATTATCAGACAAGTGTCTTCCCGGGAGAAAGCCCGCTTGGTCTTTATGAATCTCTTCCATCAATACTTTTTTCAATCTCTTGGCCAAAATGTCTGCAAAAATTTTATAATCCACATTAAGTAACGATATAGGGCGGTAGTTCTTAAGCTGAGTCTTTTCAGTCTCTGTTTTAGGTATAAGTGTAATGTACGCCTCTTTCCACGACTCTGGTGCCCTTTTCCCTTCCGAAATTTCATTGCAGACTTCCTTCAAAGGTTGCAATATCCACTCTTTCAAGGATCTATAATATCTAGAAGTCAGCCCATCCGGTCCTGGAGATTTGCCCAATTGCATGTTTTGAATGGCACCTTCCACTTCCTGTTCAGATATTTTATAGTTCAGCATTAATTTACTTTCTTGAGAGATTTTTGTAATCCATTTGTCTTCAAGAATCGGTCTATGTCCATTTCTTTCTGTGGCCCTTGCGTGTATAATTGTTTAAAGTACCTCTGGAAACAGTTTCTAATCTCAATTGGGTTGTGTATATTCTTTCCTTCCACTTCTAAGTTTGTAATAGTATTTAATTTTTGTCTTTTTTTCATTTGCCAGGCCAACAATTTCCCACATTTATTAGCTGATTCAAATGTTTTTGTCTCATTTGTTTAATTTTCCATTCTATTTCCTGATTCATCATTTTCATGTATTGTACTTGATATAATTTTATTTCTCTCAGAATCTCCTGCGACTTTGGTTTTGCTCTCAATTTCTTCTCACTTTCTTTTATTTTCTCCAAAATTTTATCTTTCTTCTCATTCTGACTTCTCTTCTTTATTGCATTCTGTTGTATCAGAAACCCTCTCATGACCGCTTTGCTTGCATCCCAGATTACTCTTTTTTCTACATTGGTGTTCATATTTATTTCAAAATAGTCTCTCAGAGTTTTTTGGGCCTTTTTATATACTTCTTCATCTCTAAATAAGGTGTCATTCATCCTCCATCTGAAGGATCCGGTTGATATTTGTTTCATCTCCATCCTTACAGCGTTATGGTCGGAGCAGGTTTTTGGGCAGATTTCTACTTTCTTTATCTTTGGTGCCATTCCTCTAGTTATCCATATTTGGTCAATTCTAGTCCATGTCATCTTGGCTTCAGAAAAGAAGGTTCCCTCTCTTCCCAAGGGGTTCTTTACTCTCCAGATATCCACTAAATCTATATTGTCTGTCATCTCAAAAAAATGTTTTCGGTAGTCTACCATCCTTGGTAACTACCTGTCTTTGTGCCTTATCCATGTTTGTAGATACTACTCCATTCATGTCCCCCATCAAAATCAAATTGTAATCCAAATAGTCCAGTAAAGTCTCGTGCAACTTTTTAAAGAATTCAGATTTCCCCTCATTCGGTGCAAGCCCCTAAAATATTTTATGGGTTGGCGAAGGGACCTGAGTCCTTAGGAGTTGGCTCCTATGCTTACTTTGCAATGTGGGAAGCTGGCCCTGCTGTTTTTGGGGGACCTCCTGCTCATTCTGCAGAGGGAGGCCCTAGACTTCTGCTGCTAAGTCGTGCCCTGATGGGGTTTAGCCTCCCCTTAAAGCAATGACAAACCTAGACAGCATCTTAAAAAGCAGAGACATCACCTTGCCAACAAAGGTCCGTATAGTAAAAGCTATGGTTTTCCCAGTAGTGATGGTTTTCCCAGAAGTGAGAGCTGGACCATCAAGAAGGCTGATCGCCGAAGAATTGATGCTTTTGAATTATGGTGTTGGAGGAGACTCTTGAGAGTTCCATGGACTGCAAGAAGATCAAACCTCTCCATTCTTAAGGAAATCAGCCCTGAGTGCTCACTGGAAGGACAGATTGTGAAGCTGAGGCACCAATACTTTGGCCACCTCATGAGAAGAGAAGACTCCCTGGAAAAGACCCTGATGTTGGGAAAGATGGAGGGCACAAGGAGAAGGAGTCAACAGAGGACGAGATGGTTGGACAGTGTTCTCGAAGCTACCAGCATGAGTTTGTCCAAACTGCGGGAGGCAGTGGAAGACAGGAGTGCCTGGCGTGATCTGGTCCATGGGGTCACAAAGAGTCAGACACGACTAAACGACTAAACAACAACAACAACAACTTAAAGATGCCCCTGTGCTTTTCCTCCACAGCCAGAGTTGCTTTCACTCTCTTCCCGTCTCCGTGTGGAACTGTGTCCCACCAGGAAAAGAGCTGAAGTGGAAGTGCATAGGAGCTGGTTGTATGTAGCTAGCTGCTCACTCCATCTGTTAACAAGAGGGCACAATCTCCCACATATTATTACAGCACCGTTCTGGTGGAGAGAAGGCGACACGAAAAGCCATTATGCGACATGAGAAATGTTCCTAGCTGATTTCCTGAAAATGGCATGAAAAGGCGATGTTGCTCAGAGTGCAGCTTGCCTGTTCGGAATTAAATACCACCATGAATAGCAGTGCTGTGCAGAAAGAACATGTGTTAAATTTTCAGTTTCAAGGGATCTGAATATCTCGACTATGCCTTGCTTTTCTTATGAGCCTATACAGCTGCTATATGCTGAGCTGGACCACTGATTCATCTCTAACCCAATGTATTTTCCACTCTAGCTAGCAGCAGCAGCAGCAGCTTGCTAAAATTTTGGTAAAGATCCTTCTCAGCACCTGCTCCCTAAAATTCTGCATTTGAGAAGAAGAAGAAGAAGAAGAAGAAGAAGAAGAAGAAGAATTTTTAATTTCTATCCCACCCTCCCTGGCCAGAACCGGGTTTCAGGGTGGCTAACATCAAAATATATAATACATTAAGACTTAAAAATCAGCAATCGACTGAAATACAGCTTAAAATCGGATTAAAATCAAAATAAGATCAGATGGCTACCCGCAAATTATTGCTATAGGGGTTGGGAACCTTAAGTCCTCACCAGACTCAGCTATTTGTATGAGCCGGTGAGAAGAGTTAGGCCACTTATATGCAGGGTCTTGTAAAAGGAGAGGGGTCAGACAGGGCCCTGACCAAAGGCCTGGTGGAACAGCTCTGTCTTGCAGGCCCAAGAAGCCAAGGGTCTGAACCTGAGACCTTCTGTGTGTGCCTGACTGCTGAGCCATGGTCCCTCCAGATTAATTGGAGCATTGATCCATCCAGTCCAATTCCACTCTCACTGCCAGTGTTGCTCTTAGATATTTTCAGCCCTGCTACCCCTTCCACTGAAGATGCTAGGTCATTGCCTTTTCAGTGGTTAAAACCTTAAACACTCCTTAGGTATCTAAGGGTACAAGGTAATTTGATTAGGTGTGTGATTGCCAGATTATTACCACTAGGATAGTAAGAGTGAAACTGAACCATATAATTGGTTTATCAATTTAATTTGCTAAAACAATCACTGAACTTAAAAAACTAGGTTTGATATGTCCAATATAAATAAGAAATCTGCAAATACAGTGATATCAAGTTCTGTTACCAATCCTAGCAGAAGAAACTCAACTGTTGATTCAGATATAAATATGGATATGAAAGAATTAATTTTGGGATTGAAAAGAGACATCTTAGAAATGAAGAAAGAGATGAATGAAAATGCTAGGACTACGGACCAAAAACTGGATAGGATGGGAATGAAAATTGACGAAAATGCAAAGATGGTGACAGAGTTAACAGGAAAAATGAATGAGTTAGTTGTAAAAAATATGGAGATGTCAAAAACCGAACCTGGGACCTTTTGCCTGTAAGTTGCCCTGAGGTCAGAGGTAGGGAACTGGCCAATGGCATCATGGGGCTGCAAGGATCCCTTCTTGGCAGGGCCCAGTTACACTACCATTCATGGATTGTCCCTGGATAAAGTGACTTTTCTTCCTTACGTTCTCAAAGTTCTTAGCTTAGCTTAAGGTTGTCATCTCAGCTGGCCACATGTTTAACTGATAATCAATCACAATCAGTCGATCGTTTGAAAAATAAGACTTGAGAACCATCTTGCCCCCAAATGGCAACTAGACATCCATTTCCTTAAACTGTAACCTTGGTTTAAGGAGCCATTTTGCGCCTAGCTTATATATCTTGAGTTTCTAACACTGATGTTTAGTGGGGTTTCCATGGAGGTAAAATCGAGAAGTAAATGCTACGATTGGTGCTGTGAAATTAGCATGTAGTGCAAATCTTGTAGGACAAAGTGTCTTTCATCCCAGATACATCTTTTTCTTAAGTGCCCTTCTGCAGAAGTATGCTGGGCAGAATGTAAAAAACAAAACAAAACCTTGGATGGAAAGAGGTTACTGCTAGGCTGTTCCATGCATTGTTCTTTGGTTGGAGGCACAGGCCCAGTGAATAAGTCAAAGTTAATTGGGAAGTTGAACAGTAACAGAAGGTTTGCTCCCTGTAGTTCAGAAGAGGCTTTTGCCGAAGTTTGAGGCAGAGGCAAGAGGGGAATGTTTTAAACTTTAACATCGAGGATTCCTGGTTTGAGCCAGTTGAACACATTCTGATCCCTCACCCCAACCATATAAAATGGGCCCATCCTGCTCTTTTGTTGTAATTTAAAGTTCTGAAGTAGCCCTTGCTTCTTTAAAATTTTGATTGACACAAACTCAAATGCTGCATGGACTGATCGAGCACGGTGTTCTTTCAAGCGACTTTGTGCTGGTCAGAAAACTAGCAGAGGGGCCAATAGTATTGATGCCAGTGCCTGCCTCAGAATCTGTTCTCAGAGCCAGAGCTTAAAGCTTGAAAAAGTGAAGTCAGAATGGATAAAAGTGCCTCTTGCCAGGTCTGGAGTACATTTCAGTTGCTGCTGAGCCACTACAGTAGGGAGTCACCTTGTTACATCAGGGTTAAGGGAAAGATGAAACACTTTCATCTCCTTTTAAAAGATGCTAGTGTGGCAGGAAAGGGTTTCTATTCTCCTCAAATGCCTGACAGCCTTAAATAAACCTGCCTCTACTCAAAACACCTACAATAAGCTCAGCAGTGCAGTGCATTTAAAGGGAAGAAAGGGAAGCTTGTTTTCAGTTGCAATGTAAACTATATTAGATCTGTGATAGTTTTGCATCTTCTCTTTTACCAGCAGAGCTCCTTTTATTAGCATCCTATATGACAGGCATAGGCAAACTCAGCCCTCCAGATGTTTTGGGACTACAACTCCCATCATCTCTGACCGCTGGTCCTGTTAGCTAGGGATGATGGGAGTTGTAGTCCCAAAACATCTGGAGGGCCGAGTTTGCCTATGCCTGCTATATGAGAACAGCAAACTCGTTCTCCAAGTCTGACTCCTGATGCAGCCTAAACATGTGTATGGATGGTTCCGTAGGCAGAGACTGAGAAACCCCAAAGTTTACAGAAATACAAAAAAATTGTTAGGAGGAGAGAAACTCTCATGAGGGGCTGTTGCCCCGCCCCCAGTGTGTTCCCCACTTCAATACAGAACAACAAACTCCTGTGTTGCAAACTTAACAAAACAAACAACACAAGCAACACAAAGGCCAGTATACTAGATAGCACTGTAGATCTTATTACATAATATACATGATTTAGTACAACAAAAACAAAATGTGTACACTTGTAAATTCTCTAATATATTTGAAAACAAATGAACACTCTGACTGTTTCGCTGGAATCTTCTTCAGCACAATCCATAGATTAGAAAAATGCACAAGGAGCAGTGGTCATGAGGATATGTAACCACTCTAAACTATGGGTTGTGCTGAAGAAGATTCCAGCGAAACAGTCAGATTATCCGGGATCCTACGTTGTTATTCACTTACTACTTCGGCACCATGAACGCCTAAAAAGTTTTACTGCTTAGCCCACAGGATAGCATCTATTACTTTGTTTTAACCATAGACTTATTATACTTCTACGGACTTTCAAAGATTGACAGACGTGTGTTCATTTGTTTTCAAATATATTAGAGAATTTACAAGTGTACACATTTTGCTTTTGTTGTACTAAGTCATGTATATTATGCAATAAGAACTACAGTGCTATCTAGTATACAGTGGTACCTTGGGTTACACATGCTTCAGGTTACATACGCTTCAGGTTACAGACTCCGCTAACCCAGAAATAGTACCTCAGGTTAAGAACTTTGCTTCAGGATGAGAACAGAAATTGTGCAATGGCAGCGCGGCGGCAGCGGGAGGCCCCATTAGCTAAAGTGGTGCTTCAGATTAAGAACAGATTCAGGTTAAAAACGGACCTCCGGAACGAATTAAGTACTTAACCCGAGGTATCACTTTACTGGTCTTCGTGTTGCTTGTTGTGTTCCCCACTTCAGACTGAGCACGCTCAAAAACCACAGAATGCTGAGTGTTTATATTATTTTAACCATTGGACTGGAAATGGAGTGGGAGATCCTAGAAGAGAGGGTTTGACTGGTTAGAACTCTGAACAGGAGCAGCCTGTGCTGCAACATTTTGCTGCAGGCTCCTTTGGTTTTCTTTGTCACACACCCTGTGAGCTTTTTTTCCTGTCATCTTTTCAAAGGGCAGCTGCCTGCCTGCAGCAGCAGCAGATCATTGCAAAATCCTGGTGGTCAATAGGACAAGCTGCCTTGAGAGTTCTTTTCTTGATGAGGAAGAGTAAAGTAGATTTGGACAGGGCAAATGAAAAGAAATAAAAATAAATTCAGTTCACTAGCCATCTTGCAGATTGATGCAGGGCGATAGAGTGACCACAGAGCCACTCCTGGAAACCAGGTCAGAGATGCCACAAGGAATGCAGAAGGTTAGGGTGAATGACTCCTGGTGGCATAAGCAAGCGAGTTGAACCACTGGTAGAAAGCAAATGCAGCAGATTAAATGTAGGTCAATAGATAATTTGATCTGAGGAAAATTCCTTCCCTATACAGCTTTTAAAAAGCTGTGGTTTTACATAATGATTTGGACAGACCAAAGCTTTACTCACCTGGAGTTGAGAGGGTATTGAATGTCCTCAGTGTTCCAGGCTTGGAAATGGAAAATATCAGGGGGTGTTGTTAATGAAATACCCCCCTCCCAACTCCCCAAGCACATTTAGTTGTGGCACTTACAAGTCCTGACAGCTGATTTCAATGTTTTCAACATGGAAGCTGTACCCATACTTCGCACAATGCAAACTAACTATACGTTTGTTCCCTCATCCTGTTCAGCTTGAGCGCCCTACATTTGCTCTGGTTGGACAGAATGGAAACTGAGTGCCTTGATACCCCTTTCACAATTTCTATTATAGTTTCCATATTCATGTTTTTTTAAAAAATAACAATAAGCATATGAATAGGATTGCTAATAATGTTCATAGTAGTACATAGTGTATCATACATATATATTCACACACTTCTGTATGTATGTACACAGCTTCTTACAATTCAGTCTACTCTTCAAGTACAAAAGGTTTGTTAATTGAGGTTGAGAATTTCTGACAATTTAATATTTTTCCAGCATCAAAATACTTCTAGAAGACTCATTCATTTTATATCTCCACCAAGGATTCAAAGCATATTGCATTATTTCATTCTGTATCTTTGGGCTCCTTTGGGATATAAATTCAATAAACAACTGCTTTATATATTAAAAAGAGTTTCTCACTTTGCTTTCCTTCTCTCTCTTCCCTAATCGTGTCAATGCAATGTTGAGGATGCCCTCTGTTAGCTTTCTAACCCTTACATCTCAAGAGTGGTTTGTTAAGTGAGACTATAACAGATGAGGCCACTGATTCTTAACCTTAAAAAAGACTTGGTTTTGAGCTGAGCTGGTGTCAGTTGTCAATATGGACATGGGCTGTTTTCCCAGTACGTGCCTCTCTCATTAACAGACATCTGGTAGAAGCTAGCATGTGGTTCTGGGTGGTGCCCTTGAACTTGAGTCCCAATGGGAGATTTTCCAGTAGGGAAGTAGATTCTTTACAAAAAGTACTGTGCACTTGTGGCACTGTTCCTCATTAGATCAGGGCAGCCATAACAAGGGCAGAGGGCCCAGCAAATTTGTGCTGGGGCTACTCTGTGTTGGTGGATCTGCTTAGGTGGACCCAGGTCTTATCCTGTAGCCACTTCTATTTCTCCTGTATTACTGAAAATGACAGCATAGGCCCAACAAGTGACAAAAGTCCTCACAACAATGGGCAGGTGTTGGGGCTGGTTTTCAACATTGTGATATATCAGCAGCTAAATACCGCAATATTCTGATCTATAACGATGTCTGGAATGTATCTCAGTTGCTTCTTCCTCTGCACCTTAGGGAAAGAAGCAGCAGCCAAGATACATCGTCCAGCTCTTCTGTTGTTGTTGTTTAGTCGTGTCCGACTCTTCGTGACCCCATGGAGCAGAGCACGCCAGGCACTCCTGTCTTCCACTGCTTCCTGCAGTTTGGTCAAACTCATGCTGGTAGCTTCGAGAACACTATCCAACCATCTTGTCCTCTGTCGTCCCCTTCTCCTTGTGCCCTCCATCTTTCCCAACCTCAGGGTCCTTTCCAGGGAGTCTTCTCTTCTCATGAGATGGCCACAGTATTGGAGCCTCAGCTTCACGATCTGTACTTCCAGTGAGAACTCAGGACTGATTTCCTTCAGAATAGATACGTTTGATCTTCTTGCAGTCCATGGGACTCTCAAGAGTCTCCACCAGCACCATAATTAAAAAGCATCAATTCTTCGGCGATCAGCCTTCTTTATGGTCCAGCTCTCACTTCCATACATCACTACTGGGAAAGCCCCAAAAGCTTTCCAGCTCAGTTGGGCTGGGTAGCAGTGGAGCATATCCCCGTGCTGCCCATGCCAGGGGCGCAGAGGGTGCCCTCCTGCATGCCACAGAGTAGGAGAGGGGCAGGGAAGCTGCTGCCCACACTTCTCCTGCTCTCCTCCCCCAGGTCAGGCCTTACCTGGGAGCAGAACTGTGCTAGGCACAAGCACCGCAGCTAAGATGCAGCGTGGAGCCAGGATCTGATGAAGGAGCCTGCTGTGCGAGCGCCTGTTTGTTTCCACTTTCAAAATTGTGCCCGGGGCCATGGCACCCCTGGCATCCCCATGCTACACCTCTGGGGCTGGGCAATGTAACTCACTAGAGGCTTCTCAGACTTTGTGTGCTCATCCCGGGGGAGTTACTGTGCGGTGTGGTCCGTGTCCGATCTGAGGCTGAAGTAGGGTCCAAGGCAGGGAGTCAGGTGTGGCCAGGAACTCTGGCAGAAAGCAGAACAGGGTGCCGGCAGGAACAGGTAACCAACAATGTTGCTCCCGCAACCTGGGACTGGGTGGGCTGGCCTTTATCTCCTCTGAGGCATAGGGCAGCCCCAGTCCACAGGTGACCCGCCTCTCCTGGCCTGGAGGCGAGCACTCCTCCTGCGAGAACTTAGTTCCCTCCGCCTCTCTGCCCTGAGCCTCTGCAGCTCAGGAGAGGCTGGAGGGTTACTGGACCCAGAGGCAACCTCACCTTCCCCTGACAGACCTCCGGAGCCAGAGTGGATTCAGCTGGTGTCTGCTCCTGAGGATCTGGCACAGGTGAGGGCCCTTCAGGTTCAAGCCCCTGCCCTGGTTCAGCCAGCCCTGGAGGCGGGGACTCCGGCGCAGGCTGGGATTCCTCAGGTTCAGCCTCTGAATCCGATTCCCAGGCCACCACACTTTGCCTGCCTGCACCTTTGCCGTTTGCAGATCTGCAGCCACCACAATGTATTCCCAGCTCAAAATGTCTTAAACTGGTATCGCGATCTGAATGCTATACCAGTTTAAGAAAATTTACCAGTATATCGCCCAGCTCTAGCGGGTGTGTTTGTGTCCAGAGTCTTATGTAATTGGTTGGCCTGCTACTCTTGAGATAAAACCAAAGTTCTTTCGGAAGTGCACTAGGTGACTTTTAAGGATATTTGAAGTCCCACTGGGAGTTCTCTTAAACAACCATCTTATTACAATTTGGATTTGCTAAGTGGCATTGGCTTCTCAAGTGGAAACTGCCCAATGAGGGATAAAATGCAGCATTAGTAAATGATATGTCCCAGGCTAGTCAAGCATCAGTGAGGGAGATGAGAATTTGTAGGTCAAATGCTTGCCCCAGGTGGTGTTGCATGAGTTTGAGTGTGTTTTGATTATATCTGTCAAAAAGGCATATCACTTAAAATTCAGTCTTTCCCTAGGTAAGCAGTTGCTTTCTGGAAATATGTAAATCATCTGTGTGGAGTTAAGTACACCTGTACTTTGGGACTGGGGGCTTTAGGGACTAGAGACATTGACTCTTCTTGTCGTCTCTTTTCACTGTACTTTGGGCGCACAGGTTTCAATTGCTGCTTGCTCAATGCTCTTTAATCTCCAGACGTATGTATTTCAAGGGTCACTTGTAATTTTGGTTAGGTGACAGCAGGAATTTGAGAAGCGTCTGTCTTGGTGTGCTTTGTAATGGACTTTTATGAAACTGTAGCTGGTGAAATGAGAGCTGAACTCTTATCTAAATGCAGCCATAAGAGGTGTGCTTGAAACCACCACCACCTTGCTAATGAGGAAAGGTTGGCGTCTGGAAAGAAGTCTCTTCTGATGTTGGAGTTAAAATGTTGGACTTGGATCTGGAAGTTGTTGTTGTTTAGGTGTTTAGTCGTATCCGACTCTTTGTGACCCCATGGACCAGAGCACGCCAGGCACTCCTGTCTTCCACTGCCTCCCGCAGTTTGGTCAGACTCATGTTTGTAGCTTCGAGAACACTGTCCAACCATCTCGTCCTCTGTCGTCCCCTTCTTCTTGTGCCCTCAATCTTTCCCAACATCAGCGTCTTTTCCAGGGAGTCTTCTCTTCTCATGAGGTGGCCAAAGTATTGGAGCCTCAGCTTCACAATCTGTCCTTCCAGTGAGAACTCAGGGCTGTTTCCTTCAGAATGGATAGGTTTGATCTTCTTGCAATCCATGGGACTCTCAAGAGTCTCCTCCAGCACCACAATTCAAAAGCATCAATTCTTCGGTGATCAGCCTTCTTTATGGTCCAGCTCTCACTTCCATACATCACTACTGGGAAAACCATAGCTTTAACTATACGGACCTTTGTTGGCAAGGTGATGTTTCTGCTTTTTAAGATGCTGTCTAGGTTTGTCATTGCTTTCCTCTCAAGAAGCAGGCGTCTTTTAATTTCGTGACTGCTGTCACCATCTGCAGTGATCATGGAGCCCAAGAAAGTAAAATCTCTCACTGCCTCCATTTCTTCCCCTTCTATTTGCCAGGAGGTGATGGGCCCAGTGGCCATGATCTTTGTTTTTTTGATGTTGAGCTTCAGACCATATTTTGCACTCTCCTCTTTCACCCTCCTTAAAAGGCTCTTTAATTTCTCCTCACTTTCTGTCATCAAGGTTGTCTCAGCTGCATATTGGATCTGGAAGAACAAGGTTCAAATCCCCATTTAGTTATGAAGCTCAGGTCCTCCTTGCATGTCGCTGGGTGATCTTGAGTCAGTTACTGTCTATCAGTTTAATCTACTTCACAGGGGTGTTGTGGGGATAAAATGGGGGAGAACCATGTATGCCACCTCAAGCTTCTTGGACAAAAGATGGAACAGAAGTGTAATAAATGGGATTTGTGGCCAATACAAAAATTCCAATGTGACTTTGTGCATTTTTGCTAGGAAGTGAGAAGCTGACTACGCTCTCCCACCTGTGATTGCGTTGCACCCGCTTTAAATTTATTTACTTGCTATATTTTTGGCCATGCCCCATCACCAAAAGGGTTCACAAGATGACTCACAGCATTATAAAATAATAATAAAATAATCGGTAATCACAAAATAGAGCAAAAAGCAGCAAAAGTCAAATAGAGATTGTTGTGCTTGTGGTCTTTAGCATTCCTGGAAATGTTTTTGGAATTGGAGGAAGAACACTGAAAGCTGCAGCGACTTGCCTCTAAATATGTGTGTGTTTTGCAACGCTTTGGTAGATGCATGAAGATAGCACAAATTATAGTGGCTGTAAATTCAGGAACGAAGATCGATGAGGTGGATTTGTGCCAGGAAGTACTTGCCTCTTCACCACCCCCTTCCAATAAGCTGCTTTCATGTTTAAAATATAACAAACGAAGAGCTGAAAAATTTGACTGTGGTTGAAATAAGACCGAGATTCCCCCCTAAATGCCTTCAGTAATAAGTCCCGTCAGTTCCTTAGTGCACTTTAATAGAGAGTGCAAATTTTAATACTGTAGCAACAATATCTACTGCGCCAACAACGAATCCAACAGTGCAGATGTAAGTTAATGGGCGTTAAGGATTAAATATTAGTTCTGTTTTAGAGGTGACTGGGTCATTGGGATCCTCAAGTACCTGAGGATGAACAGCATAGGTTCAGCCAAAAGGCATTTAGGCTGAAGCTGTTGAGTTGATTTGAAAAGTTGAATACAGTAGTACCTTGGTTCTCAAACGCCTTGGAATTCAAACAATTCGGAACCCAAATGTTGCAAACCTGGAAGTAAGTGTTCCAGTTTGAGAACTTTTTTTGGAAGCTAAATGTGCTCCGTTTTGAGTGTTATGCTTCCGATTTGAGTGCCACACTTCCATTTGGAGAGTTACACTGACAATTTGAGTGTTACACTTCTGTTTTGAGTGCCACACTTCTGATTTGAGTGCCATACTTCCGTTTTGAGTGTTACACTGAGGTCTGTCTGTTTTTGCTATTTATTTTGCATTTTTGTTTGCGGCTTTTTGTTTTGTTTTTGTGACTGTGTGGAACCCAGTTCAGCTACTGATTGATTGATTGTGTGACTGCAGTTTATTGTTTATTGACTGCAGTGACATTGTTTATTGCTTTCATTTTATGGATCAATGGTCTTGTTAGATAGTATGTAAAATTCATGTTAAATTGCTGTTTTAGCGGTTGTTTTTAAAAGTCTGGAACAGATTAATCCATTTTGCATTACTTTCTATGGGAAAGCCCATCTTGGTTTTGGAACGCTTTGGTTTTGGAACAGACTTCCGGAACGGATTAAGCTTGAGAACCAAGGTACCACTGTAGGTGATTCTGGAAGGTAGCTTCCTGTCGCTTAAGGGTTGGAATTCTCACATTTCCATATTCATGTAGCGTGATTGCATGTACAGTGGTACCTTCGGTTACATACGCTTCAGGTTACATACGCTTCAGGTTACAGACTCTGCTAACCCAGAAATAGTACCTCGGGTTAAGAACTTTGCTTCAGGATGAGAACAGAAATCGTGCTCCAGCGGCGTGAAAGCAGCAGGAGGCCCCATTAGCTAAAGTGGTGCTTCAGGTTAAGAACAGTTTCAGGTTAAGTACGGACCTCCGGAACGAATTAAGTACTTAACCCAAGGTACCACTGTATATAACCATACATGCTTAGAACTATCCTAATATACTGTTGTTGTTGTTTAGTCGTTTAGTCGTGTCCGACTCTTCGTGACCCCATGGACCAGAGCACGCCAGGCACTCCTGTCTTCCACTGCCTCCTGCAGTTTGGTCAGACTCATGCTGGTAGCTTCAAGAACACTGTCCAGCCATCTCGTCCTCTGTCGTCCCCTTCTTCTTGTGCCCTCCATCTTTCCCAACCTCAGGGTCTTTTCCAGGGAGTCTTCTCTTCTCATGAGGTGGCCAAAGTATTGGAGCCTCAGCTTCACGATCTGTCCTTCCAGTGAGCACTCAGGGCTGATTTGTTTAAGAATGGATACGTTATATACCAGTATACTAGAATTTATAGTAAATTGTCTGCCAGTTTCCAACAAGCAGTGCTGTGGCCAAGATTCCCCGGAGGAAGCGTCTGGGTGGTACTGCTTTAGACGGCAAGTGGGAGTGAGTCTGACATGATGGAATGCTTCTCCATGCAAAAGAAACTTCCCTCGGCCAAACTAGCACGTCAGGGGAGAATGCCAGGGCCTTTCTTCCTCACGTGCTAGATCTTAAAAGAGAGGAGAGTTTCTTTTCCACTAGGGGCATTTCTAACAGGCCGCCCCACCTACGCTGTGAAGTGGTGCAGTCCACCTGGAACTATGTCACTTTTAGTGAGAACCGGGCATTTTTTCTCATATATTAAGCAGACCAGGGTGTTCACGAATGAAAATTCATGCTTTGTAGACTCTCACACAATACCTTTTCAACTGCAGTTGGCCAAACACATTTTTAAAGTAAAAACCTCCTGCTAATGGTCGACCTCCTGGGACGCCGAAGCACCACATTATAGTAACATATTGTTGTTGTGTTAACACCTTGTTCCATTGATTAGCACATGAGAACATCCCTGTGGACATGTTACAACTCCCAGTGCTCACCCAGGAGGCCAATTCAATTAGTTCTGTAAGTGGAATTTGCGCAAATACTTAATAATGGGATTGCTACTTGCGATAATGTCTCCCCACTCCCTCACACCTATTGGATAGCGAAAACTCGCTGCTCTGAAGGTAGAGCCATAGGGTTCGTTTTCCTCTCCTTCTTAATCAAGTTCCATCAAGTGCCTTGATGATCTTGCTTAAAGCCAAACTTGCATTCTGCTAACTTGTGTTCTGTATGTACAGGGACGCGGGTGGCGCTGTAGTCTAAACCACTCAGCCTCTTGGGCTTGCCAATCGGAAGGTCAGCGGTTCAAATCCCCATGACGGAGTGAGCTCCCATGGCTCTGTCCCAGCTCCTGCCAACCTAGCAGTTCAAAAGCATGCCAGTGCAAGTAGATAAATAGGTACCACTGTGGCAGGAAGGCAATCAGCCTTTCCATGCGCTCTGGTTTCCGTCATGGTGGTCTGTTTCACCAGAAGTGGTTTAGTCCTGCTGGCCACATGACCCGGAAAAACTGTCTGCGGACAAATGCTGGCTCCCTTGGCCTGAAAGCAAGATGAGCACTGCACCCCATAGTCGCCTTTGATTGGACTTAACTGTCCAGGGGTCCTTTACCTCATCAATAGGAGTATAGCATCTAGATCAAGGGAAGTAATAGTGCCACTGTATTCTGCTCTGGTCAGACCTCACCTGGAGTACTGTGTCCAGTTCTGGGCACCACAGTTCAAGAAGGACACTGACAAACTGGAACGTGTCCAGAGGAGGGCAACCAAAATGGTCAAAGGCCTGGAAACGATGCCTTATGAGGAACGGCTAAGGGAGCTGGGCATGTTTAGCCTGGAGAAGAGGCGGTTAAGGGGTGATATGATAGCCATGTTCAACTATATAAAAGGATGTCACATAGAGGAGGGAGAAAGGTTGTTTTCTGCCGCTCCAGAGAAGCAGACACGGAGCAATGGATCCAAACTACAAGAAAGAAGATTCCACCTAAACATTAGGAAGAACTTCCTGACAGTAAGAGCTGTTCGACAGTGGAATTTGCTGCCAAGGAGTGTGGTGGAGTCTCCTTCTTTGGAGGTCTTTAAGCAGAGGCTTGACAACCATATGTCAGGAGTGCTCTGATGGTGTTTCCTGCTTGGCAGGGGGTTGGACTCGATGGCCCTTGTGGTCTCTTCCAACTCTGTGATTCTATGATTCTATGATTCTACCTTTACCTATTCTGGAATTGTTTTCATGCTAGAACAGGTAAGGAAAAAGTATTGGGGTGGAGGAAAGTATTTTAGGTTGGTTATGCAGAACAGCTGGGTAAATGAATGAACGTGTTTTGAAATATCATGACTTCCAGGAAGTTCTCCCTGCTTTGCCCCATGTAATTTCTCCCCGTTAGCTTACAAGTAGTAAACGAATTGGCCTAGAAGTCAATGTGCTCAGAAGGTGGCTGTCCGTGCCCCATGTATTCTGGTAATACTGAGGGCAGGACGTCGAGCTTCTCAGCTTGGTAATTCCTTTTTAATAGAACTGTGAGGTTGAGGACATTTGCAGGGGAGAACGGAGGGTTTGTCCAACTCTTCCCCACCCGCTGTCTCCGACAAATGAGGCCATATTAAAATGCTTCCCCCACTCCACCCAAAAAAATATAGGGTTCTGAAATGAGTAAGCCACGCTGAGGAGAAAACAGCAATTTCAGGGGACGATGGGGAGATGTGGACCAACCTCTCATCTGCCAAGCTTCCCCTAGAAGAGCCACACCTGTGTGTGTCTTAATCAGGGCTTGTTTTGGGCAAAACTTGCCGGAACTCAGTTCCGGCTCCTCTCAGGTGGGCGCCATTGCCGTTATAAGCGAACAAGGGAGGTGTTCATGGTGAATTCTGGCACCTCTTTATCTAGAAAAGAAACCAGCACTGGTTTTAATCAAGCAAATGTGCTTCTCAAGATAATGGATTCTAACAGTTGGGTAGAAGGGGTAGGAATATGAGGGGGCTAAGGCCAGCAGAGCTCCCAGACCCTTTGCTTTAAAAGAAAAAAAAAAGGGGGGGGGTCAAATCAGGTATTCCTGATGAAAGCTAGAACACAAAATATGGGCCTAGCCTTTTCTGTGGTGGCTTCCCATTTGTGAAATGCTGTAGTGACTTGTCACTTGAGAGCCATCCTGACATGTCTTTAGGCTCTAGGCAAAAACATTCCTCTTTATCTAGGCCTTCAGCTGTTAAATAATCTATGGCCTGTTAAAGGTGTGTGTGAGGTGGGGGCTGTTATAATGATTTTTAATAATAATAATAATAATAATAATAATAATAATAATAATAACTACTGCTATTATATTACTAGGCTTTGATTTATGATTTTACGATTATGCTCTGTAAAATATGTTTTTAACGTTAGGCACTGCCCTGAGAGCTTTCGATATTTTTATTCTTTTTGAATTTTTATACCTCCCTAGACCCGGAGGTCTCAGGGCGGCTCACAGAACAAAATAAAGAGCGGTGTATAAATCAAATTGAAGAATAATAACAATACTACTGCTTTGGGGCTCAGTAGGCCACACCATTGCTAAGGGCAGTAAGTCACTGTTGCTAAGCAACCATAAGAAGGAATGTTGACACCTGAGACTGGGGAAGAGGCCCCTCTCGGAGCAGCAACCAGAAGCAGAAGAAGCTGGCCAGAGGAAGTATACTGGGGTACGTTACTTGAAGCACCTTCCTGCCATCAACGTTACTTCATTCACTCAGGCTGCTTAGCAGTGCTACTGTTTCACACCATAACAGAAATGTTTGCAAAAGGTGAAATACGTTTTGTTAACAAAATAACTAACAAAGCTGAGACCAGAAGAAGAAATCTAGGACAACTTGGCTGTCAAGGAAATAATTTAATAATCTAGCTTAACGTTAGGGATGATTCATGCATCACCTCTCCAACCCGGATTAGTGCACGTGAAAAGTGTTTTGCATGTGGAGGAGGGGGATGCAGGGAGCTTTAAGCCTCGAGGAAAGTCCTTGCATTTGTTGCAACATGTTCTGCTTGGAAAAACAGACGCCAGCAGTGCTTGGGAGGAGCCAGTTGTCCAAAACCGCAGAGTGAGAGGCGCTGGGAAACTGCACATGTCATGCATGCCAATTCCCCGTTGCTTAGCTTGTCAGGTTGTACTTGGAGTGCTTACATGAAGCAGACCATGTACAAACAGCACTCTGCGGGACCTGGCAAACCCAATTGCCATCTGCCTTCATCCACTGTCTTTTGCAATATAAATGGTTCAGGCTGCAGCTTCTTAGAAACCGGAGGCTTGAAAATAGATACTTAGGCAAACACGTTCATGCAAATTATCCAGTCATTAGTGTGAGAGAGCTGGGGAAACCCCTTCTTTCGGCATACCTCTTGTTCCTCCCTCCCCATCCATAATTAATAATAATAAACCCCAACACAGCAGCCCTTGGTCCCCTGGCTGGGCCTGGCTGTCCCACTGAAAAAGGAGGTAGTGACCCAGGACTAGCCCAAGACATTGGGCTGCCTGAGATGTCCCACCGCCTTTCAGTCCATACACAGAAGCAAACCTGATTGGCAGTTAAATCTGCCACTTGAACACTAGCAATGGGACACCAAGATCCTGTCCAGCTGTGGCAGGCTTACTTAGAAGAAGAAGAGGAAGAGTTTGGATTTGATATCCCGCCTTTCACTCCCTTTAAGGAGTCTCAAAGCGGCTAACATTCTCCTTTCCCTTCCTCCCCCACAACAAACACTCTGTGAGGTGAGTGGGGCTGAGAGACTTCAAAGAAGTGTGACTGGCCCAAGGTCACCCAGCAGCTGCATGTGGAGGAGCGGAGACGCGAACCCGGTTCCCCAGATTACAAGACTACCGCTCTTAACCACTACACTACACTGGCTCTCTAACTTAGGGTTAGGTTAGGGATACAGAGCAGTCTACCTGGCACACACAGCTCTGTCCTTTAGCACCTCAGTGCTGCTTGCTGCCCTTCAGGAAGTGTGTCAGTGTGGCACAGCTGTTTGTTTGTTTGTTTATTAAATTTCTATATAGTCATACCTCGGGTTACAGACACTTCAGGTTGCGCGTTTTTGGGTTACGGACGTGCCAAAACTCGGAAGTACTGGAACGGGTTATTTCTGGGTTTCAGCGCTCGCGCATGCGCAGAAACACTGAATCACAACCCGCATGTGTGCAGACGAGTTGCGGGCTCTGCGGGCTGCGAACATGCCTCCCACACGGATCGCATTCGCAACCCAAGCGTCCACTGTACCACCCTTCATCTGAGGACCACAGGACGGTTTACAATATATAAGCACAAAAATACATAGCTTAGTAACAAACAGAAACAATGCCCCTCCATATATGGTTTAAAAGACCACCGATGATTTAATGAGCCCAAGCTCTGTGAGAAGAGGCATGTTTTTGCTTGGTGCCTAAAGAGATGTAACCTCACTTAAAGATAAGGTGCCAGGCAAGACTCCCTGAGGAGAGCATTCCACAAACGGGGAGCCACCACGAAAAAGGCCTCCCTCCAGACTACTGGAGGGTGTTGCCACCCTCCAGACTACTCACCAAGGAGGCACACGAAGAAGGGCCTCAGATGATTATTGCAGCATCTGGGTTGATACACACGGGGAGAGACAGTTCTTATGAATGCTGGACCAGGACCTGGGAGATCTGGGTTCAAATCCCCACTCAGCCATGAAGCTCGCTAGGTTATATTGAGCCAGCCACAGCCTCTCAGCACCACCTGCCCCACAAGATTGCTGTTGTGCCAATGCAGGTGGCTTCTGTATGGGGCATGAGGAGGTCAGGTGGCATTTTGCCTTTTGCCTTGGGCAGTAAAATGTATTGTGATGGTCCTGGCTGACTTCTACAGGATGAAAAAGCTGATACTTCTGAAAGCAGGAAGAGCAGTGCAATGAACTATTGGCTACGATTGCCATTTCCATTTTAAAAGGACAGAACTCCGTTTGGGGAAATAGCTAGCAAAGCAGTCTTTTCAATTATTCTGTGTATTTCCACGTCTCGTTCCTAGAATAGAGCACTTTGATCTTCCCAATTTTTATCCTTTTCCCAATTGCTCTTAAATACTGGTGGGAGGACGAGGATTCTTCAGACTACCCAGTGAGGTGTAAATTAGAAATTCTTTCCTCCCTGGACTAACAAATAGTCCAATTCTCAGGGTGACAAATTCGAATCAATGAAGAACTGAAATCTTATTTTAGAGTGAGCTTCCCCTGATGTGCTTTTCACAAACCTCCACCTCCTGTAGTTTGTTCTACTACTAGGATATTGACTGATGAAGAGGTGGGTGGTGACTTTTCAACCACTCTTGACAGTCTTTTCCTATTAAGGGGGCTGGACTCAAGCTCCCCAAGAGATTCTGTTGCCCGTGGGTGAATTCTTGTTTTCTGTTTATTTGTTTTCTGACATGTGCTGGAGAGTAATGGAGGATGTCTCTGTGCTTCTTAGGCTCACTGGGCAATGGAACTTTCTGTAAAGATGGCAAGCAAAAAGAACTTACCTCCATGGGACCGAGAGCTTTTAAGAATTAGCTTTTTACAAATTTAGTCTTCTGAATTCAGTGTTTTCTTCATCAGTTGCACTAATTTGCCCCAGCATTGAATCTTCTATACCTAACTATACGCAAAAATGCTCTGTTGCAGTACACACTGCTGGTACACATTTATTTTGATTTTATAGACAAATCGGCTCCTCCCTTAAAGAAGGCATGTATTGTGGTGAGACCTGGAAGACTGACACTCTGTGTTGTGGGTGGGTACGATTGGTCAGCCACAACACCAGATTGGTAGATCCTTCGTAGCTGGGTGCAATCTGGCCAATGGGATGCAGTCCAAACGGTTCAAGGGACCTATTTATGCCCATGCATGTGACCCAGAGCTTCCTCTTTTGGCCCGTGCATTCAGAACACCTGCCCACCTCTTCCTACTTTTAGGGCTTTGCGCTTGACCTTGCTATGCCGTCGTGTGTCGTCTGTCGTTGGGACAGGGGCATGGCAGGAATTTTCCCCACTTGGCTGATTGGCTGTTGCCATTTGGGTTTTGCCTTCCCAGTAGCAAATCGTCACAACTTGTAAGGTTGCGGATAGGCTCTGGTTCAGGTGATAGGGATGGGAAGGGTATTCCGTTAAAGGAATCCAGGGACTTAATGGTTTGGTCAACCTCTGAGAGGGGGTTGTGCCCATGCCAGAGTCTAGGGGGACATTTGGGTGGCGGAGATAGCCTGTTCCTGGCTTTCTGCTTATCCAGGTGTTCACACTTGGCTGACCTATGATGGAACCCTGGGTCAGCGCTACCTGCATGGCAGGAAGCTAGTCGAACCAGAGCCTATGCAACCGGTCACTTTCTGTAATCAATAAAGTTGTGGCCTAAATTCTGCCAAAAACCAAAACCAAAATTTGAGTCAAGTGTGAATTTATTTAAAGGGGGAGGTTTCTGGGTCTGAACACACAACTGGTAGACCTCAATCACATATTTGGAAGCTGAACCTGTGAGTTGGGACAAGCCAAATAAATACAAAACTGTGTTTGTACTAATTGCCTCAGAAAACATTGGTTCCTATTTGTTTTTAATGCTAAGTGAGCCAAAATAAAAGTGAGCAACCTGGGAGGTTAATTAGAATAATTATAATTTTTGCTACTTGGAGCTCTTTTTAATTTTATGAGCCTCTCCTGGGCACTCCTAGGATGGTAGTGGAAGGGAAATACAGAATAGGAGGATTCCAGGATGTGTGTGCCTGTCTCCTCATCCCCAGAGCAGGAGCAATGTCATCATCTTCCAGAGCACCAGGATAACTGATGGACTGTCTTTGCTCTGGTACATAACTGAAGTGATGATGAGGTTTTCAGGATTTTTGATTTGTTTTGGTGACTTGTTAGCATAGAGCAAGGCAGAGAAGCAAGGAGAATAATAAAGTAGGGGCTGGATACTTCTCTCCTTTTGTTTGATGGGCTTCTTACTTCAGGCTGACACTCTCTTAAGTGATAACACGTCTTTGCAGAATTGGTTTGCATTACTAATTAAAAGCCATCAGCTGCATTTCAGGTGGCTGAAGATCTTTTATTAATGCTCAGTGCATATTTTTTTTACAAGTTAAAACTGCAGCTGAAACAATATGCACAGGTTTTCTGGGAGTTGTGCTAATAAATTTAATTAGTAAGCTAAATCCTGCTGCCTTTGCTCAGTGTATTTGTGTGTGCATATCACAATGGACTTATATAGCTGCCTGCATTTTGGGATTCTTTGTTGGGGTTTCTAGATCCTCGTGGAGGATATGTGATTTCAGAGGATTACGGCAAGCCCCTGCATTTCACTGCTCAGTTAACATGGTTCTAAAATCCAGCAGCTCATCCCAGCTCATGAAACATGGTTCTATAATCTAGCAGTTGTGAAACGGTTCTTGCATATAACTGGCAGCAGGATTTGTAGGAAAAGCAGGAGGGGCAGAATGTAGAATGGCAATGTGTACGAAGGAAACATCTGAAAATACTTAAGTAACATGTTGTATACTTCAAGGGAGGCTGGGACAGAGAGTTAATGACAGAGAGGCTCCTACTTGTGTGGAAATATTCTCAGAAAACAAACTCTAAAATAGATGGAGGAAGTCGGACATCACAGATTTGAGACGGCATCCCCTGGAGGGAAGCAAACTTAAAATGCCTGGCTTTGCAATGTGCTCAGCCTCTGAGGTGTTGGGTTACTTTGCAGTTGTCCTCTGATCTTGTCCAGCAATTGAGAGGAGTTAGAATAACGTGTTTGTGTTGCAAGGCCTGCTCACGTTTTGAAGGGGTGGTAACGGTGGAATTAAGCAACTGTGTTTTGGTTGGCACTGGGAGTATCTATAGTAAGACTTAAAATAAATACTGGCAAGTGTTATCTTCAGCATTGCGTAGGGCAAGGCCAGTAAAGTGTGCTGTTTTCCTTGAGTACTTTAAGGGCACCTTTCTGTTCCACCAACTTTGTCTAATGAGTTACCCAAACTCCTGTATAAATGAGAAAGGCATGCACATAAATGAATGGCAATTTATGAATACTTCCTTTTGCTAGCTAGGGTGGTATATTTAGGCATGCAAGAAGAGCTTTGCAATGTGTTAATACTGTGTCCTTTCTTTCTTTGCCAGGATTCCACCAGTGTGACGTCAGTTTTTGTCCGAACAGACCCACATGGATTTTTCTTGTATTGGACAGACCAAAATAAGGTAGATATACATTGAAGTACTTCAGCTCCCTCTTTGTGGTGGCTTCTTTTTCTGACCAAATACCTTTTCTGACATTTGTAACCCTGGTGTCTTTTTTTTTTTTAAAGGATGAGAACTAGGGATGGGTGTGTGTGTGAATTTAAGCCAGTCCACATTTAAAGATTCACACTTAATTCACTACCTAAATCACACTTCCTGAAAGTTTTGCAAACCAAAGCACCGCAATTCTTCAAAAGTCATCCTTCCCTGAATATTGCAATGCAGTTCTCAAGCCAAGTAATGTGTACAAAACTGCAAATACTAAGGTAAAGTGTACATAAGAACACATACCCTAGTGAAAGAAACATACAAAAATGCATCCTATTCGGGAAAATTGCATTGCAGAACAGTGTATTTTAGGAAAAAATGCATACAAAAATGTATATCTTAGGAAAATTTTGCACTACAGCATAGATAAATTTTCATGAGGACATTTTTTAACAGAATTTGGAAATGTGGGGGACTGTGTTTAAATTTGGAAAAATAAGAAACTGAGAGAAAGTGAAACTGAAATTCACCCATCCCCAGTGAGAACTCTGGACCATTTCCGCAGAGTGTGGCCATGTTTTCTAAATACTTATCAGTTCTACTTGATAGGAACCTGGAAAAAAATATCTCATTGACTTTTGAAGATTACAAGCAGTGAGAAAGGAAGAGCATTGATGATGAACATTTATATGAAAGTCTTCAACTATTTATATAGTCTGGTACTAGGACATTCATTTTGTGTTTCCTTGTTCCTGTAAAAAACAACAACCACTAGTACATATATTGAAATGATACTCTAGGACAGGGGTCATCAAACTTTATCAGCAGGGGCCGGTCCACTGTCTCTCAGAACTTGTGGGGGGCCAGACTATATTTTGAAAAAAATATGAACAAATTCCTATGCCCCACAAATAAGAGATGCATTTTAAATAAAAGCACACATTCTACTCATGTAAAAACATGTCTGCGGGCCGGATTTAGAAGGCGATTGGGCTGGATCTGGCCCCCGGGCCTCAGTTTGCCTACCCGTGTTCTAGGAGGGTATATATTTATAGTATTGTTGCTATATTCCTGACAAATGCTTAAATACCTATAGCTTTTTAAAAGAGCATTCGTTCAAGATAATTTGAATTGGACTATCACTGTGTGATTAAAACCCAATCTATAAGGGTCAAGGAAGGATATTTCTCTTCAGCTGATAATGATGGTTTTAGAAACATTTGCCGAAATGTATCCTGAAAGGCTTTGTTTAGAAAAACAAAAATAGATCAGCTGCCTGAAAGCTTTGCTTAGAAACTTGAGTGTTTGTTTACGATCAATGCTGACAGCTATTGAAAGATTAGTTGCAAAAAAACTTGTAGGAAGAACTTGTGCTAATGCCAGAGCTTGCTTATAATGTTGCTTACTGCAGAGGAGTGGTTAGAAGATGTAGGCAGCTTGCCAAAAATATTCATCCATAGTTAGTTCTAAGCTAGCAGTATGTACCTGGAGGAGGGGTAGGCAAATCTGAGTTAAGGAACATTATCTGTTTTCTCCCCTTGCCTAAAATAAAACAATTTCACAGCTGGGCAAACAAAGGCTGAGGTTTTATCAAAAGGGGATGAAATGTTCTGGAGATGCAGACTTAACTTTTAAGGCTTCAGTTTGGTGTCTCCCTAAAGCTAAGTAAGTGTGACAAAAGAATGACAAAACCTTGCAAACTGAAGACGAGGGTACAAACTTGACATGTGTTGCCAAAGACCCAATGGCTATCATTTCTCAGTTTCCAGTGCTAGGTATTTAGCATGTGTGGAGAATCGGAAGATCTTAGCATGAACAATATGCAACTTCATGTCTGAAAGCGATGGATTTCTTATTGCGGTTAATGATCCTATCTCATAATTGCCTTCTTGTTCAAAATAAGAACTAAAATACACGAAGATGGGGAGAACTACAAAGTATGAAAGAATGCAAATCTGCAAATGGCTCTTCCTATGTTTCTTTTACGTAAAGGGAAGGGCTTTGATTTGGAGAAGGGGCACCGCGAATGTGAATTCTCTCCCCCTACCTTCAGTTAAGTTTCGTCTCTTCTGAATTACTATTTGAAGTTCCTGTTATCAATCCCCTCTCTGCTCTGTGACTACTAGTAGCTTCCGGGAGTGGCTTATCAGGAAAATGGTGCAGGGCAAAAGAGTGAAGCCCTCCTCCCTGAATGTCAGTACAGAATTCACTACACCTAAAGTGAAAATAGAAATATCAGAAGATCTGGTCTTGGCCCCAAGTCTTGATAAGGTAAACGCTCTAGGCAAACAAGGGTCATGTAATACTTGGGCAAATGGATCTATAGTATCCACAGTCTTAAGAAGATGGCATTAAGAAAAGCTAGTGTGGAATAAAGAGAAATTTCTTGGAAATAACAATTAGGCTTAGGGGCGGAATATGAATATGTTATTAATAAATATTAAGGATTAGAATAGTAATAAAGGAGAAGTTAGTAAATGAAAGAAGTTAATATTATTAGAAAAATGAATTTGGAGAACTGCTAAATAGGTGATATAATGAAATTCAGTTAGATGGAATCACGGAAGTCAGTTATTAATGTAATGAAATTAGGATTTGGAAGTAAAAATTTGTTCTTATGTGTGTGTGTTTTTGTATTTTGTGTATTGTAATGTTTTTCTTTTTTTCTTTTTCTTTTTTTATGTGATAAATGTGAAAACCAATAAAAAAAAATGGTAAAAAAAAAGAAAAGCTAGTGTGGAGCAGTGGTTAGAGTGTCAGATTAGGACCGGGGAGACCAGGGTTCAGATCCCCATTCAGCCATGGAGCTCACTTGGTGACCTTGGGCCTGCCACTGCCTCTCAGCCTCACCTACCTCGCAGGGTGGATATACAATAAATGCAATAAAGAAATAAGATGCTTATCAACAGGATAGTTTGATTATCAAAGAATAAACAATAATACACATGTAGCTGCTTTCTTAGGGGACGCTGGTGGCGCTGTGGGTTAAACCACAGACTCTAGGGCTTGCCGATCAGAAGGTCGGCGGTTCGAATCCCCACGATGGGGTGAGCTCCCGTTGCTCGGTCCCTGCTCCTGCCAACCTAGCAGTGTGAAAGCATGTCAAAGTGCAAGTAGATAAAAAGGTACCACTCCGGTGGGAAGGTAAACGGTGTTTCCTTGCGCTGCTCTGGTTCGCCAGAAGCGGCTTAGTCATGCTGGCCACATGACCCGGAAGCTGTACGCCGGCTCCCTCAGCCAATAAAGCTAGATGAGCGCCGCAACCCCAGAGTCGGTCATGACTGAACCTAATGGTCAGGGGTCCCTTTACCTTTACCTAGCTGCTATTTTAACTTGATGATGGTCCAAAGAATATGGAGTCTGATTTCCAGCTTCACTAAGCCTCACTGTGCCCATGTGAGGGGCGTACCAGGAAGCTGGGCGCATCAACTGCCACACACATGTTACCTCCTAGCCTCTTTCAGCTCAGGCTCATTGTTAGTGGAGAATATGTTCGTGGGCATTTGTTCCATCACAGGTAAGAAAGCTTGCTCCTGACAGGTTGGGTTGGTGAACTAAAGCTGATAGAAGGAGCGGTGCTTTATTAATAAACAAATGCACGATTTAATAGGCTCCAAATAAAAAGGCAGATGCTATTTTGCTAAGCAGATTCTCATTTTAGTTGTTGCTGCACTCTGATATTAAAGGAAATCTTTAAAATGGCCTTTCCTTCTGATGGGCTACTGGGTGAGCTGAAAAACGTGCTCAGAAAAGTGATTTGTATTCCACAGTAAGAAATAGTTTTCCCCTCTGTGGATTTATGTAGTCAGCAGCCTGATTGACCTTGGGCTAAAAGTTCTGTGCAATATTTCTTGCACTTGTTATTGTTGATGATGTTAAAATCCTGGAGTAGGTTTTCTGAGGGTTGATTTCCTCCCATCCCTGTGGTTTAAGTGCTTTGGGCTATTTCTTACACAGTTTTGTCTCATTTGGGACCAAGGGCTCTTGAAATGACCAGAAAGAACTCACAGTGTGCTGGAATAATGAGAAAAGGAAAGATCAAGCAAAAATACAGGGCAGACAGTGGAGATTGTGTATTGCCTGCATAACTATTTTCTTTGAATTTCAGGTTTTGCTTACAGATAAAGCCATTTATGGAGCTATGAGTCTGATCAGCAGCTCTTGAACTAATGTGTGGATTGGAAATTAAGTTATTCAGTGGGCTTTTCAGTTCCCACATATTCTGACATGGATCTTGCCTTTGCAAACATATAAAAATGGTGTTTTTTTAAATAAAAAAATAGCTTCAGAAATGAATATTTAGATTGGTATTTAAATGCAAAAAATTGTTTAGATTAATAAAGAAAGCACATTGATGCAGCAAATGAAAAGGGACATATTTATGAGTTAATGCTTGTGAAATTGACATGGGCTGGGAATAGACCAGTTTGCCCATCTTGAGTTGCAGTATCGAAGAGCAGCAACATGCGCGTCACTAGCGCATACGCAAAACACCACGCAAGGCTTACATGTTACATTTTAATGTCTGCATAGAAGCTTGTAATAATTTCTAACAAAAGAAATGAACGGGCAGGTTTAAATGGATAGTAAAATAATTGCTCATACGCTACAGCAGCCATATTTAATATTTAGAACAGCATGCCAGTGTCCTTGTAATTCTTGGTGCTGTCTAATCTGTCTAATAATTTTCTGAGATGGGAGTAGCATGGAGAACTGAACTGGCACATATTTTTTTCTGAAAGTTGTCAAGGAACGTTCATGCATACTTCCTGAACAAGCAGGTTTTGATGCTGGTCTTTAAATCAAACTTTGATATCCATTACCTCCCTGCCCCTGAGGCATGGCTTGTGCAAAGGTCTGCATTCCTCAGTATGAAGCGGATGAGCTAGAACTTGAAACAAGCCACTCTGATCTTTGGCCAAGCAAGTTTTTGCTACAGCTCAATGAATCCATTGAAGATCCCCTTTTCGTACAAGTCATGTAATAGTGTATCTTAGTGGGATCATCTGGAATAGCATTTCCAAGCTTGATACAGTGGTGCCTCGCAAGACGAAATTAATCCGTTCCGCGAGTGTCTTCGTCTAGCGGTTTTTTCGTCATGCGAAGCAACCCTATTAGCGGCTTAGCGGATTAGCGCTATTAGCGGTTTAGCGGCTATTAAAGACTTATCGGCTTAGCGGATTAGCTGCTAAAAGGCTATTAAAGGCTTAGCGGCTTAGATAAAGGGGGGGGGAGCGGAAAAAAAAATCTCAAGACTCGCAAGACATTTTCGTCTTGCGAAGCAAGCCCATAGGGAAATTCGTCCTGCGAAGCCACTCAAAAACGGAAAACCCTTTCGTCTAGCGGGTTTTCCGTCTTGCGAGGCATTCGTCTTGCGGGGCACCACTGTATCCTCCAGATGTTTTGGGATGCAATTCCCATTAGCCCAAGCCAGCATGACCAGTGATCAGGAATGATGGGAGTTGTAGTCTAGCATCTAATGTAAGGCCACAGGTTCCCCACCATTGCTTTAAGGTGTACAGGATGAGATCTGTGGGTTTCTGAAGAAGAGTGTGTTTTGGACTGGGGGCGATTTTCGGAATCTACAATGGAAGGAATTTATACAGTGCACAAAATGCTTGTCCTGAGCCCATCTGCATTTTGGGTTCGTAATTCTGTATCTGTTAGCTGAAAACCAGGATAATGCATTTCAGTAATTAATATCTAGAATCAGAGTCTGCTTATGGCTCTTTGCTCATGCAAAAACTGTCATGACCCAGTAGTGACTACAGGGACTTGACAGTATAGGTTACATTTTATTTATAACCAGTCACCCAGGAACATCGATATGACTCAGGTTCTAAAAATGTGCCGTAATGAGCCTGTGATCACAATAAGCAGCTGTAGGCTTCCCAGTAAGCAACTTACGGATGGAAAACCTGGAGGATACACCATCACAATGCAGTTTTAATGCCTAGAACACAGCAAAATTCTGCTGATTGTTCATAGAACCCAAAAGGAATGTTGTGCCTTAAATTCAGGCCACAATCCACCCTCCTCCAGCCGGGAGTGCTGTGCAGCAACTTCTCCCTTCCCTTGACAGCTGGCGGTAGGCGCGGGAGTCATGGGCGGGCGGTGCGCCATTGCCCCGTGCTTCCGGCTGGAGGAGACAGGCAGGCAAGGTAGAGGACGGGAAGGAGGCAAGCGAGTGGGAAGGGGAGAGGAAAGAAACAGGATCGGTGGGTGTGCATGCGGCTATCCCATGCTTGGGAGGGCACCCTCCGCGCCCCTTGGGAGCGCACGCTGGTGCCCCTCGGGAACGCGCCCGCCCTGGGCAGCGCGGGCATATGCTCTGCCACTGGCCGTGATCACCAGTCAAGTAAAGCTTTTTCTTCTCTCTGCACAGAAACTGTTGTAAATCGTAGAAAACGAAAACAAAATAAAACAAAAACATAAAAACAAAAACAGGAAGTCTGGTACAAGCATCCAGACCTATATCCTTTTAAGTGTAGCATATCCTTGAGACTGTTGATTGTGCATCACAACCAGTATTTCTGAAATCCTTCAGCTCACCCTGTAAGGTCGTCTAGTATTATCTTCATATTGCAAATACAGTGGTACCTCGGGTTAAGTACTTCATTCGTTCCAGAGGTCCGTTCTTAACCTGAAACTGTTCTTAACCTGAAGCACCACTTTAGCTAATGGGGCCTCCCGCTGCTGCTGCGCCACTGGAGCATGATTTCTGTTCTCATCCTGAAGCAAAGTTCTTAAACTGAAGCAATATTTCTGGGTTAGCGGAGTCTGTAACCTGAAGCGTATGTAACCCGAGGTACTACTGTAATACAGTAAGGCTGAGAGAGGTCCGCCAAAGGGAACTGCTTTAGTTCATGTCCAAGGTGGAACTCAAACCAGAGACTTCTCATCTCACATACTAAGAAGTCCTCTTTCACCAGCCTAAATTAATACATGGAACTGTGGCAGCATTGTTTCCCATCCAGTTGTCAGAGCTGACATTGGTTGAAATAGCTGTTCACCATTCTTTGGTGTTAGGAGTGAGCTGGTGGTAAATCGCATAATCAAGTTGAAGTCAACTCTTTATTAGCAAGAACATGATCTGCACAGACTTGGCAGAGTGTCAGGTCTAATGAGTCCATTAGCTCCATGGGTCAGTTGCCAAGACTGAAAGTCCATGCCTCCCCACAGCCGTCAAGTTGTCTCCTCTCTAGGGATTTCCCCAAGCAATTGGAGATTGCACCTGCATAAAGCCAACCTCTCCTCCACCCTTTTCATGCCTCTTCTGGTTCTGGGAGACCCGTGGGGGGGGAGGAGCTTATTGCAGCAGGAGGGGGAGACACTCATGACTCTTCACCAGCCTGACTCATCTCTGCCTCCTGGCCTCCTTCCTTCCCTGCTCCAGCTTCTGCCTCTTTTTCTGGTCTTCTCTCTGCCACAGAATCTCCCAGATCACTAACCTTTGTTGTCTATTCAGCTTCCAACATGGTCTTCTTCCACACTGGGAGCCAGTGTGGTGTAGTGATTAAGAGCGGTGGACTTGTAATCTGGTGAACCAGGTTCGCGTCCCAGCTCCTCCACATGCAGTTGCTGGCTGACCCTGGGCTAGTCACACTTCTCTCTGAAGTCTCTCAGCCTCACTCACCTCACAGAGTGTTTGTTGTGGGGAAGGAAGAGAAAGGAGATTCTTAGCCGCTTTGAGA